ACCGTCACCTTCTGTACCAACCTGTTGGTTCACTTGGTGGACTTCATCGAAATGGATGGTCGAACACACACACACTTACTTGCAACACAGTCTCCTGCCGGTGTGTACATTTGAATAAAGCAAAAGTAACGAGGTTTGTAGGATTTAATGACGTCATACAGTCCCGTGACGTATTGTTCAGCTGCATACGGTCATCGCCTATTAATCAGATAAAACAAACTGTCCAATTAAGCATCGACCTAGAAGGTTGAAATCTGATAGGTAAATGGAGCATGAGCTGTTGGTCATAGTTGCGGTTGCGCATGCTGAGGGGGAAGAGGAGGCAGTTATCGAAGCAAGGGGGTTCAGGTGACAATGAAAGCCTCAAAAGCGAATCGCAAGAGACCTCCGCAGTCTTTGGATCGACCGTATGACCAGTGCCCACCAGATGCTTTGTAGTTGAACTCTTTGGTATCTTATTTGCCGTCCGAAGCAGCCTCTTCGGCATATTTTCAGCTGACCGCGTTGCCAACTGCCTTTGCTTGCGCATCCATGTATTTGCATCCGCAAGTACATGTAAATTAATAAATTACAGTTTAATTAGGCGTGTATAGGCCGAATGTCTTTATTTGGTCTAACTGGAATAACCGTTGTTGTGCTTATGAACAAAAATTTAGGAGCAGTGTACGCTGCCTTTGTCTTGTTCAAATTTCTTCCAAAAAACAACGTTTCCCTTTTTTGAAAAGACGCCGCCCGTGGACCCTCTTGTCAAATCGCTAGATCAGCTCATACCAATACAGTGCGCACATTGCCGGAAAATCGAATTCCATAAATGAGAGTTTTGTTCGCCAGACTTTCCAGATTTTTGCACAAACCCATCATCGGGGACAGTCGCAGTTCTGCTGTCTCACCAAACTTTCTCGTTTTTTTTTTCTGCTGGAAATATAAATGGCTATCTACGAGTGGAAATAATAACCGACCCACACCTAAATGAGTCCTCTGCTATTGCCGAGAGCCATAGCCAGTTTGCAGAACTGAACTGTTGAGTAAACCAACTTTTTGTCAGCTTCGAATTTTCCTTGCTATATGTGATGATTAGTTGGTGAAACGAGCACTGTATAATGGCTAGGATTTTATTAGGCCTTCGTGCGGCATAGGGTCTTTCAGCCACTGGAAGTATTCAATGTTACGCTACAGTAGCACCTGTCGGCCAGTCGAAACTTTTCCCTGTCATTTGCGTTTTTCTTTGGTTTTCCAGTAGCCTGGTTCTTGTTGCCTCTTCCTGGCGTTTCTGCTCAAGTAGGCTATTTTTGGGGAAAGTTTACTCTTTTCGAGGCGCCCTAACCAATACCTTAGTATTCCTTCTTCCCCATCTCACTTACCGTTTTCTCCTTCTGTCTACTTCGTTGCAGGTAATCGATTTCAGTTGCAACAACCTGACTCGAGTACCCCGTGGCATCGAAAACGCCTCTGGCCTGCTTGTACTGAACCTCAGTGAAAACAACCTCACGGCCATTCCGGAGGAGTTGTTTGTGCAGTGCACCAATTTGATGCTGTTAGACCTCTCAGATAACCAGCTGCAAACCCTGCCTGCCCATCTGCGCCGGTGTTCTTCCCTTCAGCAACTCATCCTCAGCCGTAATCCTCTCCAGCACTATCCATTGAGGGCAGTCGCTGCCATCAAGCACCTTCAGGTGAGTCGTCTGCGTTTTGGTCATCCTCCTCTCCCCTCATGACATGCCGACTCTGAATCCTGTTGTCCGTTTTGACCGTGTGCTTGGTGGAGCAACCGCATTTTGTCGTTTTGGGTTGTCTGCCAATATTCTGCTGAAGTCGGATGCATTTGTATAGATCGTTTTTATTTCTTCACAGGTCCTGCATCTATCCAATACCCAGCGCCGCTTGGACAATATCCCCAGTGAACTGGACCGCCTTGAGAAGCTCGTAGATTTGGATCTGTCCGAAAACCAACTGAATAGGATCCCTGAGCCAGTTTTTCAGGTCCGTTATTTCGTTGTCTGTTTCGTCTCTGATTTCAGTATGTTTCAATTTATTCAGCGCCACCGTTAAAGTTTTGTCCACTTGATGTCGCTCTTTATTTACTTCACGATGATAAACTATTCTCCTCCTGCGCATTCACTATGCGACCAATTGTCCCTAACTATTCACTTGCAGCGTTATCGTCCTCACTATCTATTTGTAGGTGTCTACATAGCGTTTGTACTC